TATCCCCTATAAGTTATGCTAAATCCTGCTCCCCTATTGGCTGTGCCCTGTTGTGTATCCCCTATAAGTTATGCTGAGTTCTGCTCCCCTATTGGTTGCTTGTTTCCCTATCTGGTTGTTGTTCTAGAGGCTTCCCCTTTGTCCAGGGTCTTTGGACCTGCCCCTTGTACTGTGCTCAGCTTCTCCACGTTTGTTCTTTTTAAACAACAAGAACATTATTGTTGCCCTGATTCTTAAGATTTCCTAAAGCTTTCTGAGTTTACATTCTTGTAGAGAAATTCCTCACACAACTTTCTGTAAACAATCTATTGTTTACCATTCTACATAGAGGCGGAGAAATTTGATGTACTGGTGGTTTGTCCAATGTCATTGGAGAGGTGGCACATTCACCCTCCAATCCACTGTCACTTTTGGAAAAGTATAAATGCTGGAGTCAGAAAACAAACTTCCTTTTTTTTCACCTTTGCAATAGGAGCGGCTCATGTCATGCTTTCACGTGTCCTATAGCGACACATTATTGTTATTGTTATTAAAGTTCTTTTTGGGCAACTTCATTGAACATGTTCCTTTTCATTTTCACCACTCTCACTGCCCTGGAGTCAGGGACCAGGGAGGTTTTTGTCATGGCCACCATGACTGTCTAGAGTCAGGGACCAGGGAGCTTTGTCACGGTCACCCTCACCCAGGGAGGTTTGTCACGGTCACCCTCACCCAGGGAGGTTTCTCAGTCACTGTCACCCTCACCCAGGGAGGTTTCTCAGTCACTGTCACCCTCACGGCAGCAGCTGGCTCACCTTGCTCGCGTTGCGGTTTGCATAGTTCACACAGGCGTTGTGGCTCTGGTTCAACCACTGCGGGACAGAGAGACACAACATCAGCATGAACCCACCAAAATCAGCACAAACCCACCAACATTGGCACAAACCCACCGAAATCAGCACGAACCCACCGACATTGGCACAAACCCACCAAAATCAGCACGAACCCACCGACATTGGCACAAACCCACCAAAATCAGCACAAACCCACCGACATTGGCACAAACCCACTGACATCAGCATGAACCCACCAAAATCAGCACGAACCCACCGACATTGGCACAAACCCACCGAAATCAGCACAAACCCACCAACATTGGCACAAACCCACCAAAATCAGCACAAACCCACTGACATTGGCACAAACCCACCGACATCAGCACAAACCCACCGACATCAGCACGAGCCCACCAAAATCAGCATGAACCCACCAAAATCAGCACAAACCCACTGACATCAGCACAAACCCACCGAAATCAGCACAAACCCACCAAAATCAGCACAAACCCACCAAAATCAGCACAAACCCACCGACATCAGCACAAACCCACCGAAATCAGCACAAACCCACCGAAATCAGCACAAACCCACCGAAATCAGCACAAACCCACCGGCACCAGCACGAACCCACCAAAATCAGCTCCCCAGCCCTGCAATCTCTGGAGCTGCTCCTTATCTGTTGGAACTCCAAATGTCCCTCAGACATTTTTAGAGGTTCCAGGCCCTGGTCAGAAGCATTTTAGACCCTGGCAGGCAGCTGGAAACAGCTGTGATTTTGGGTTTGAACATGGAATGAGTTACCAACATTGGAGGTGGAACAAGCAGTCACAAAAGGTTAGATAGTATAGTAAAAGTAGTTACAAAACAGAGGGGAACATTTTTTAGTATTGTACAGGGGGGTTTTAGCACATGTACAGGGGGTTTTTTACTTTGTACATGGGGGTCAGAAGTTCTAAGATGGAGGAAAGTGGGCTGATCCTGCTCTTCCTCCTTCTTCTTCCTTGCCTCCATGTTCTTGGTGATGTTGGCACTTGTGGATTGGTTTAGAGTAGAAAAGCACTTTGTAATATAGGTAGTAGGTATTGGGGGAAAACTATAAACATGCTATATGTAATATATCATATAAAAGATAGCAGCAGCCCTGGGTGGGGAGGGAGAAGAAGAAGACAGCAGATAGAGAGGATGTCAGGGTGTGTGTGTGCCTCTGTCTGAGCTGTGAGCAAACCACAGCAGCTCAAGGAGAAAATCTTTTAGATAACTCACAATAAACTGCCTTGAGACCCAACAACAGAGACTGCTGAGTTTTCTTTGGAAGCTTGGGTTGGAGGAGAGGCTTTTCCACCACACGAGACCCCAGAGCAAGCCCGGGGCTCTCACAGTGAGTGGCCTCCAAAGCCCTGAGTGGCTCAGGGTGTCCCCAGCCACCCCTCCTGTGGGGCAGCTCCCAGCCAGAGCCAGCAGAGCCCAAATTCCCGGCACGGAATTCCGTGCTGTCGGCTGTCCCGCCGTGCTCCCGGCTCCGCCACCTTCCTTCCCCACGCTGCAGGCAGATCCCACCCTGCTCGGAGCCTTCCTCCTGCACAGCTCCATCCCCGCTCACAGAGCAGACAATAAAAAGGCATTTGCCACAGAAAGGAGGCTGAAAATAACTCCTTCCTTCCTTTCAGCTGGCAACGGAGTCGCACTGGTGGTGTGTTTACTATGGATCTCTCCTTCCCGTGCCTGCTTCCTCCCCTTACTCTTAATTCCCAGAATTTTAACGGGAAATCACGCCAGCACCTCCCTACACACGGATTGTTTTCCCCCAGAGTTCCTGCAGCAGACTCAATGCAGGAGTCCTGGGCTTTGCCACGCACACCTATTCCCAAAATTCCTGGCAGCAGGGCCTCCCATCATCCCCAGCCCTTCCAACATCCTCCCCCAAGAAAAATCCCAGCCCCTCGTCCTCCCAAAGGCAGATGGGCGAGTTCAGGGCCAACACCTCCATGGATGTGCACATGGAAGAACCGTTTGCACCCAGACCAAATGGCTCCAAAAGCTGATTTTTGCCGTGGCACAGGAAGGTGTGGGATGAAAAGGGGAGCCCGGATTCGTTTCCAGCCCCTTGCAGGCACATCCTGCCCCTACAGCCACAGCACCAGTCTGTGCTCTGGGCAAAACCCAGCTCCTCCCTCCTCCCTGGTGTAGGGTTTGGGTGTGCTCTGTTTCACCTGCCAGGGGTGGGCAGGTATCTGCTGTTCACTGGGCAGTTTTCTTTATCTCTGCCACAGCCCATCCTGCCTCCAGGAGATCTCCTCTGTCCATGGGCCATTAATTATTAATTATCTCCTGTTCATGGCCACTGAGTGTCCCTGCATGGCTGAGAAAATTCCATCATCCATGGGGAGATGCTCTGCCCAGGGGAGGAGCCAAACATTCCTACCTGGATCCAATCTGACCTGGGAACAGCACAGCAGCCTGTGCCCCCTGCATTCCCAGAGGAGCAGCTTTCTTCCCCCTGCATTCCCAGAGGAGCAGCTTCCTTCCCCCTGCATTCCCAGAGGAGCAGCTTCCTTCCCCCTGCATTCCCAGAGGAGCCCAGGCCCGTCTCCCCCAGCCCTGGAGCTCCAAGGAAAACTCCCCCCTTGTGCAGATCCTGCTCCAGCAGAAGCACAGCTGGCACTGCAGGAGGGCTGAGCCCCCCTGGGATGGGGCTGAGCCACTCCCTGACCCACAGGGGACAGGGCTGCTCTGACTCTGGAAGTGTTTTTTTTTATTATTATTGCATTTGTATTTTTAATTTTCCTAATAAAGAACTGTCATTCCTATTCCTGTATCTTTGCCTGCCAGCCCCCTACTCTCAAAACGATAATAATTCAGAGGGAGGGGATTTACATTTCCCATTTCAGGGGAGGCTCTGCCTTCCCCAGCACACACCTGGCTTCTCACACCAAGGGACCTCCCCACATTCCCCCCCTCGCCGAGGAGCCTCACCTGCCAAAACACAGTGGAGGCCAGGGTCTGGTTGGGCAGGAGGAGACCAACAACCTGCAAGAGGAGAGATTCTCTCATTATTAAACATCCCTGGTTTGCTCGCCGTGCTTTTCCAGGCATGCAAACAGCCAAGCTGATTTCCAGGGACTTGAATAAATTATCCTCATTTCTGGCTTTATTTCGTTCCCGTTATTTTTGGCATCCCAGTCGTTATCAGCCTCCTGTCTCTCCGCTTTCCAGGGGTGGAACTGGCTGATGCTGCTGCCCCTGAAAGCTCTGCACCTTTAATTACTGCTCGTGGTGCACCCTGAAAATCCCCTGGCGGCTGACACTGCCCGAAGATCCCATTAAAACCCAAACAATTCCCTAATCCAGGAATTTCTGGAGGGAAACACAAACCCCGCACGGAGGCAAAAGTTCAGAGCTGGCACTACTGGCAGTGAATGGGGGGTTCTCATCTTTTCACTCTTCCTTTGGCACATTCCCTGTTTGGGGCAGCAGGAGAAAATCCCACCGGGACATCTGAGGGCAGCAGAGCCACCTGGGAGCACTTTGCTCCTGTTTGGGAGCCTGGGATTCATTTTAATCAAATTTATTTTGATTAATTCATGTATTTTGGCATGTCACCGTCCTCCCGAGGCTCGGGGCAGCCCGGCCCAGCACATCTGGCCAGATGTTCCCTGCCGGGACCTGCACTGGGTGCCAGAGGCCCTGCAAGGTCACCCCTGGCAGCACCCGAGGCCACACGGGCGTGTCCTGGGCCTGAGGTGTCCTCAGGGCACCACGGGGACCCAGCTCTTCAAATCCCATCTCTGACACACACAGCGCCTGCCTGAGGGCCAGCTGGCCTGCTGTAAGGCCCTTTGGCTTCTTTTAGGGCCAGCTTTCCTGGTTTAAGGCAGTTTTTCTTCTTTTTGGGCCATTTTTCCTGGTTTAAGGCAGTTTTTCTTTTTTAGAACCATCTTTCCTGCTTTAGGGACATTTTTCCTGTTTTAGAGCCATTTTTCCCTGTTTTAGGGCCATTTTTCCTGGTTAAAAGCAGTTTTTCTTTTTTAGAACAATCATTCCTGCTTTAGGGACATTTTTCCTGCTTTAGGGCCATTTTTCTTGTTTTAGGGCCATTTTTCTTG